TGAACGCGGGCGTGTTCGGGAGGCACGAACAAGAACTTTACAGGAGAGAAAGAGAAAAAAAAAAGGAATTACTCTCGGGCGTATCGGACACCGAGAAGGTGTCGCACGGTGCGAAGAGCCCGTGGAGTTTCTGCACGGATGCCGCAGATGCGTTTTGAACATTCTCTTTAAATTGCAACCTTATAGCCACCGTCCGCAAGTTATGTCAGTCGCGGTTAAACGCGAAAAACGTGCCTTCTAAAGGGAACGAACTAAAGTTCACAATATATGTAACACAGCGATGTATGTATTTTTTACTACTCTCGAAATTTTTCCTGACTGTTCGATTCTTAAAGTACACGTGCGAAAGGTACAGGGAATATCGTTTAAAAAGATAATAATATTGTCTTTGCGAAAACAGAAACGTCGTATTGATCGCATTGTCATACTGCAGAAATCGCTCGTAAAATTAGCATACTTTACGTTATATAATCTCATGAGTCGTGTCGGATTGCGCGAGATCGCAAATTGACTGTTCCAGGGCGAGATATAAGAATAAAGGGTTGCGGCGGAAATAGGGTCAGCCAGTGGGGAGTCGTTCACCCCACATCGTACCGAGCGATGAATCTCCCTTGCCCGCACTAGATTTCGCTGCATACCGCGAAAGCACTCGCGGGGATAGAGTACATGAGTGCAAATCCGAATAAATCTACTATTGCCAGGATAAATCCACTTATACAGTTATCATCTGGCCGTGAAAATCCTGTAAACACTTTATGAATTGTATACTGGAGATCGTGTACCAGAGATTCTCACATCCGCAAACCGCCGAGTATCTTTTGTTAGGGTAATCTTTTGTGTTTGTTAAAAAACGTTTACACTTTCTTATTCGATACTCACGCGGCATCTCAGACGCGTTTAATTATCTACAAAATTATTAGCGATTTTCCAAAGCATCCTATACACAAAGGATAGACAAAATAATATTAATACCTGCGACATGCACTATTTATGGTTTTCTTAATATTTATAATACATTATTTATTTATAATGAGAAATTGACTTATCGTTTGATTTTAATACCCATTCTATCATTGTTGAAATGGAATTATACAGTGCTTGAATCTTGTACTATTCTTTTAGTAGAACATCTTTCAATTGCTTATATAAATATAATATTGAAAGACAAAATTTACTTCTCATTTTATTTTCTAAAATCATGCTGTATTATCCAAAACTTCAACATTTTTCCTAGCCAATGCAATCGAATTATTTGTAGTTTTGAAGATCAGAGTAAGAAATAGATTTTCTCTTCCAATATCTTAAGCAATTGTAGAAGAACTTCTGCTAGAAAAATGGTATGACATATTGCACTGTAGCAGTTACTACTCTAACATGTATGACTCTATTTCAATAATAGAATTTGTATTAAAAACAAATAATAGATCAATCTCTTATTAATAAAACAAATAATATTTTCTAGATGTTTATATTATTTTTTATTTTTATCTCATATACTTATATTATCTCTAATAAGAAGGATACTTCTTCGGTTCTTTTAATTATTTTCATTTTTTTAAATATCTTTTTCGTATTACGTAGGATTTACTTTTATAAATCTCGAAGTTATTTGAAACTTCCGTTCAGTCGGGAAATACTTCATATTTAATGTAAAAATCGAGAGGCAGTTTATAATTAGCGTTGCGCAAAAAAGCTGTCCTCAATAAGGTAGATTATAAGTGAGTGCTCAAAGTTAGACTTAGTTTTCAACTAGAAAATAGCGATGTATCTGAAACAACGACATACTTTTTTGAAAGTAGTGTTACATTTTTTTAACGATAAATTATTTTCCAACGATATATACATTCTTATTCGAACAAGAACCGGTGACAATAGTGTTTCTTTCATTCGTAAGAGATTTGAAATTCAATTGAATTTACCCGGAGACTTGGGAGGTTTTGGAAACGTTGGGTGAATTAAATGTTGGTGCGCGGATTTGGCGAAGAAGTCGACTCGGTTACTGCATCGCCACCTCTCATCGTATCTAAAGTATCGTTCACGTGAGGATTAGCGCTGTTGCATTGCGGCGGTGGTTGCAGTATTCTTACAAGCTCGCTGTAACCTGATTTATCTGATTTCAGATATACTTAACCTGTTTACAAGATCTGTGCATCAGATCAATCGAATGTATTTTTGTAAAAATTGCCTCTTTGTTCACGAACGCTATTTACACATTAGTTGCTTTCTAAATTTGTATATTATTACTTTGGGCCAAACATTTCCATAGCTTGGGATTCTGAGGATATTACAAAATAATCGAAATAAATTTTTAATTTTCAGTTTCCATTATATTTATTTTAATGGGTGTTTTTGTAAAAAGCACGAGTGATATAATTTTGATATAATCGCTGTTCGAGCAGTCAAAGCACATGACAAGCTTATATGTCCCTTCGACGCTGCCGCCTAATTACATCATTTATATCAAGCGTGTACATGTATGAAGGATGTACACGAAGGAGCCCATATTTCGAAACTTATCTTTTGTAATGAAATCGATAAATCACTTCATAATCGTGACGCGGCGCTTTCTATTAGATCCTAACGCTTCGTTTATGTGCTAATGTTGTAGCCCTTCATAGTGCCTCTAAGAGTGCTGATGTTACTTGGGGGTGGTCTGCTAGCGGTTTTCGGCAGTGAAGCAATCGAGCTCGGTGGTGCCGGGCCGCTTGCGGTCGTGGCTGCAGCTTTCGTCAGCTGCTACTTTTGGCAACAAGATGGTTGGGACATGGACGATGTAAGTACAAATTTATGTACACGTTATAAAACTTATACACGAGTTTACTAGTCTGGCGAATAAGTTGTTGATAAGAGAATCCTCCAGCGAATTTCATGCGAATGCATTAAATAGTAGTTCCAACTCTCGCAGAACACATTAATACATTATTAAATAGCCACAGTAGTGATACAATCTAAAGAATGCTTTGGTTATAAAATATTAGTCATAAAAAAATTTTATCGTAAAACATCCTGAAGTTAACGACAAAAAACAACAAATTTGATTTTTAGTAGCTTATGCAGCGCAATTATCATATTTCGCTGCAGTTTTAAGTAAATAAGTTTTAAATAATTAAGTAAATCCAAATTAATTTTTGTATGAATATAGATTATTAGAGTTTTATTTTCATTTTTATTAGAGTATATGAAAAATTTAATTTAAATCATAATTTTTTCGCATTAAATTTGTATTATATTGTAATACAAACAAGTATTGCAAATGCGATTTTACGTAAAAATCAAGGCAAGCAAAAAATTAAATAATTTTTAAACAAGAAAACTGTGCTCAAACTTTTACACAGCATTCAGATGTAATAATAGAATGATCTATGTGAAGTTGTTATATTTTTAGTAATGCCTTGAGTTGTGACACATACATTCTTAAATTTCTGAATTATATTTTTATAAAACACAAATTTCGGACGATTTAATGGATAAAAACGACACATTTGAAGATATTTTGAATTGCAATTTCGCAATTCCAGTCTAAGTGCGAGAAATATTAAATATTTAACTTGAGAGAAGAGAAAAGGAACGTATCGGCGACGAAAGGGAAATACATCGCAGAGTTTCACTCTCCTAGTCCAATAAGTTGAATCTCGTGAAATATTCAGATCGATGTATCGTCACTATTCGGCTGGATGCGGATTGGGAGTCAACTGGCTCGTTCCTATTTCCGTTTTCCGCATCGCGTCGCATTCCACGCTGTCCATGGCGGTGCAATGGCGGCGACACGTTCTTTTGCACGCGTTTCGTGACGTGACTGTAACCAGCATCTGTCGATATTACCGCCGTATGATATGCACGTCGTATGTCGCATGCCGGCATAATTTATCCCGGCTAGATTAATTACTACGGAACAATCGCGCGACAAGGTGACAGTAAAACGTCCTTTTGTCTCATATAATGAAATAATTCATTCCCGGTAAAACATCTCTCTTTTTGAATATTATATGTAATTAGATGTAATTACATAAAATCAAATATAATTAAATACAATTTTATCACTTTTTCACAAAGTTCATTCGATTAAATTTAATTAAACATAATTGTCTGTATGAAATTATATTTTAATTTTAATACATACAGGATAACAAAAAATTTAGTCGCAAAGTTTTACGTTTATCAAATTATTAGTAACGTATATTTATGTTAAAAAACTAACTCTGTAGTGTTAATTTTTATTTTATTAAATATTAAAAATAATAATTAATATTCAAAATGATCACCTATAATTTTGATGCAAAAATGCATCAACGATGGCAGTGTATCTTTTCACGGAAAAATTTTCCCAGGCAGTCAATAGAGCGGTTTTCAGTTCACCAACTAATGAAAATCTTTTCATGCAATCTTTTGGTATTTAATAAAATTTAACTAACTCTTCAAAGTTTGTTTTTTTATATAATTACTATTCAGATAGTAATTAGCTAACTTTATTTGTTATCATTTTTACGTCAAAATGATGACCTGGGTAATGATTTTATAAACACACAAAACTTTATGACTAGCTTTTCGTCGCCTTGTAAAATTAAATGTGATACTTTCTTAAAAAATATAATTATGAATAATTATTGTCTTTTAAAGAAATAATAAATAAATATGATTTTTTAAATAGTTTTTAATATTAATAGAAGAAAAGCTGTGTGAAAAGCATGGATGTTAGCTATAATGTTCTTGTATCTGCAAAGCATGTTACATGCATTATCTGGAAATTGCATGGAATTAAATTAAATAAATCAATATCGATGAGATTTCCTACGCACTACAAGCGCATGTAAACAATAGCGGTAAATACGAGCTCGCACACCGCGTGAACTCTGAATATTCCGCATTTCCACATGCAACGTTGGAAGATTTCCATATCGATATCGAGCGCATGGACAATGCGATGCGAGATATCATCACCGAATACCGAATCGACTCTCCTTTAGAGGAAAATTTGTGGAAAATGTCATTGTATTCGCGGCATTTTAACATCTAGCGTTGCGCATACCTCGGTAAATCGAATTAAATTGTTGCTATCATTGCCCTTTGTTTTCATTCGTCGAACATCACTCGCTTTCGAGATTTATGAGGAAAATAGAAATAAATATAATAATTGCTTTCATTCATAGAAAATGTTAACAAACGAAATTCAGACCAATATAAATTTTAAATGAAAAATATACGTTCATAAATTTCAATTCATGTGATCGTGATTGTGTATTTTTCTTTGTTCTTTCTTCTTTACAGAATCCGGTGGCTACATCTTTCGAGATCTTCTGGATAATATTCGAACCGATCTTGTTTGGCCTTACCGGCACACAAATCAAGATTAGTGAGCTCGAAGGGAAAACCGTCTACCTTGCACTAAGCTGTTTACTTGCTGGTATTATTATCCGTATCGGAATAACGGTGTTGCTAGGGATAGGTTCCAAACTGAATCTCAAAGAGAAAGTGTTCATTGCTTTGGCTTTGATGTCTAAGGCAACCGTGCAGGCAGCTCTGGCACCCGTTACCCTCGACGAGGTCGACAAGAACGATCACGAGCAAGTCGAATACGCCCAGATCGTACTGATGATGTGCGTACTCTCGGTACTTTTGACTGCTCCGGCGGGAGCCATTATGATAACAATCTCGGGACCAAAGCTGCTGACGAAGACCACTGTGCCGGTCAGCCCGCCGGAAGCTTGGAAAACGCGCAGACCATCGATTCGCGACATTTCAATCATCAATGAGGATCCGGATTTGGAGGAGACCGCGAACGAGAGGAAGCCCTGACAACCGTATTTAATTTGCATTCAAAGCCAAGCTAATAGGAGCTTCATCCTTATTCTCCGGCGCTCCGAAAGTGCCTGAACATGCCTTTATTTTAATTACCCGAGGCACGACTTAACGGTCAAAGACTTATGTCTATATAACCCACTGATGAGATATTAATCGTGGTTTAATGTCAGCTGATTTATATCTAGATGCTCATGGCCGAAGATGAAGTACTCATAATGACATCACAGCGATATCATATCTCAAAACTTTTATTGAGTTACACGCGAAGAGAAGATTTTATTCAATCTGACGTTAGATCAGTATCGTTATATTTCAAGTGATAAAGCGATCGAACTTAAGCGATATCCTAGTCCGTGCAAAAATTCTTCGTATAAAATAAAAGGACGATCAATGATTGATTGCATTTTGCATATTTATAATGCAAAATTAAAAGGTTGCGTTTATTTAGGAATTTTACGAGATCTTAGGATTTGGAAATCCGTAAGTAATATTATAAATTGAGAGTTTCATGTTGTGATTTTGAAATTTAATTTTATTATGCACGTGCGCAATTTGTTGGTGAGTTTATAATTATATTTATTTTAATTATAATTATACATCCTGTACATTATTATGATCATAATTATAATAATGTTCACGTATTTCTTTCCTTGATCACTGTATTTTAAGCACAAGAGTTTATTAGCGAGAACTTTTATTACACTTACGTTGTTTTAATGAATTTATTACCGATATTGACATTGTAGTATAAACAAAAAGAAAGAGACTGTACTATGTACTGAGGAGATATATTTATGCGCTAGTGATAGTTTTATCAATAACAGACATAGTAATTTTACTAATTCACTTGTTAATCAATTCATTAATTTTTACGAGTAATTTATGTTAATTCTTATTGAAAAAATATCATTCGTTAAATGATGGATTACCATGTAATACGTGAAGATATTTTTGTAATAAATACGTATATGAAATGCGACTGTGCGCTAGTTTGTCATTATTAATATAATTCTAAGTGATTTTGGAAGCTCTGTGAGTGAATGATTTATATAGGTGCTGGTCGTATTATAACAGATTTTATGACTTTAAGTGTGCGTTTATATCAGAAAGATGTGAATTGCGCGAGAGTGCGAATCTGGCATTAGAATCAAGTACCGAGTAAAAGATTATCCGACGCGATATCTTTGTTTTTGTATAAGAAGTTTTTTCATTAAAAAAAGGAAAAGCCGGTTCAAGTTTTGTGACATGAGAGAACGATTTTAGCATTAAGACGGTAGCGCACGTCGAAAGAAATGTTCACATTATCGAGTTAATCTTCGAGTCGAACGTAAAGAGTTTCGAGTTGAATTTTTTCACAGGTGTCGAACTTCTTCAGGAAATTCAGTTAGATAATGTGGACGAATTCTAAGAATACAATGAATACATCTGAATGTATCCTAAATACATAATGTAAACAAATATATTGTTGCAAGATATCATAATTTTACTGATAAACTCCATTTGAATATACATTTAAAATAAAAGCAGTTTTTGCTATCTATGAACTTTCTAATATTTCTATTCCCGTCGATTTTTATCGAAGAAACTAATTAATTGTCATAACAGTACATATACAGTAAAAAAAAACATTCTAATACTTATACGATTAGGAAAATATTGAACATGCCTTGTGAGATAGTTTAAACAACTTTATTGTTATAAATATTATTATATAATATTTGATCTGCTTATCATCAGATTTAAAAAAGCAGCTTGTTCTTGAATACCTCTTAATTCTGCTGATTTATTCAAATTTATTATACGATTACATTCTTTAGATCAATATGATTAAAAAGAATTTAAGAAAAAAAACAATTTTTTTACATAGGAAAAATAAACATTTTAGATCAAACAAGCGCGAACAGATGCAGGGTCAAAATGCCTCAAGTAAGATCGACTTCTTTAACCAAAATATTTTCTTAACAAAAATATACAAGTGCAAAAATACATCAGGAACTATTTAATGTTTTAACAATAACGTTTTAGATACATTTTTTTTTAATTTTACTTATTATAACTTTATCATAATCACTTAACTTATGCATCATACGTTTTATGCCGTAACATGCAAAAATATCGTTTGTAATTTATGGTGATTAAAGATAATCTTTGGTATTCTTGATGAATTTTTTTATGTAACTTCTATAATTGTAAATCTAATACTTGGAAAGTAATGCTCGTGATATACATATAGAATCTTGTGCCATTTTCAAAACTTCTTAGCAGACATTTCTGAGAGTCAAGAATAGCAGTTACGAATAAGTCCATTATCAAAATATAGGCCAGTACAAAAGAAAACTTTATACAATCGTATCCTACATCAAGCCCTATTCATGCCACTACCCACACAGCACACTTTATCCAAGGAACATCTTGAGACGTAGAACATTCTCGAGGATGTCCCTTGAAGATCTGTACTGTGTAAGTATTTTCGTGGCGCCAGATCGCGCGTCCAATCAAACATAATTATTTCTCCTGTCAGGGTTACTGATTCTCCTGCTATTAAGAAAATAATAAAATTATAGCAGCAAATTGACCTTATTTCAAATATAATTCATTTGAAAATTAGAAATAAAGGTTGTCGTTATTACGTATAATTACATATAATTTAAAATGCGCTATAATTAATTTAAATTTATACCCTGCTTAATAAAATATTGATAGAAAGAAGATTTTTACTTATTTCAACTGAGTACGTATTTAAGATAATCACAAATTGGATAGAGCATGACTCGAGGACACAAGAATATTATGTGTAAATTATCATACTAGACAGTCTCAATTATTACCTTATGGTGTCGAACTAATCGCGAACGTCGTTAATGTGCTGTCACTTGTGCTTTTCCTGACTTTATAAGGATCATGTAAAGTCGCAGTTGCGTTATTCGGGGTTGTTTTTTTCTTCTTAGTGTCGTATCCCAATCGTCTACGAAGTGCTTGATACACGCGACTCTTCAAGACGAAGAGAATAAAGATCAGTAGACCTTGGAGACAATTGAAGATATCGCTGGTGTAGAAAAACACATGGTGCCAATGTTCGTAATCTAAATATTTCACCAGGAAGAATGACACTACCTCGCAAATCCAGGATATTCCCATGACGATAAATAGTTTGATGTTCATGATAAATCTATCAGAAAATAATATAGATGTAACTTTTTTGTGAAATAAAATTTTACTAAAATAAACAATGCATAAAAATATAAAGAACATAGGTAAAATCCGTAAAACAACAATTTAAAATTGTATCTTAGATTCAAACATTAACTATTTGCAATTTCTTACTATAAAAAAAATTCAATAATGAAAAGTAATATTTAATTAGGATTCTTAAAATTCAAAATTTTAACATTAATAAAAATTCAAGGCAAGTGAGAGTAAAAAAATAAACGGGACGGTACAATTGGTGCACTATAAATTAACAACGTAAAATATATATACATTCATACAAGACGATTGGATGTTTCGGCCTATTTCACGCCATTATTAGCGATATCAATAATAACTCAGTAAGCAAGAAACATATTAGAACATTTCAGCAACATTGTAGCAACGTTACAACGTTTCAAAATGTTTCTTGCTTACTAGGAATTGATCTTTAATTAATATTTTTGTTATTCACAATAAATAAATTCGCGGTATATAATAAATATACTCACTCAAAAGTGCGAACGTCAACTAATTGTGCTTCTTAATCATAAAAATTAAAATGATCTTTACTCACACCCACTTATCTATATTGCATATTGAGAATTTGTTTCTGCGAATACCGAGAACATATTAACTAAGGATTACTTACTTTAAAGATGGCTTTAGGTAAGTCGAAACACGTTCGATCGTCTAGTAATGAATATTGAAATATATTTTACATTGTTAATTTATAGTACTCCGATTATCGCGCCATTTATTACTCTAATTTGCCTTTCTATAAGTATATAAAAAAATTATTCATCACATGTTTTTCATCCATTGAAAATTAACAGCTACTATTTATATAGGTAGAATGAACTCTAATGATTATTTTTAAAAAAAGTGTAGCTAACTAACTGATTACTCATAACCAAAGTTAATAGTGTATAAAACGTGCTTCTGAACACACACAATTTTATTGCTGTGTTTCTAGTTTTGTAGTTTTAAATAGAGAGCAATAATTCTCTCGTATATTTGTGTAGGCTGTGCTACAACTTCGAAGAAGGACACTTCAATAAAAATGATAAATCTGACACTAAAAGTTCCGAAATGACGCGCGTGCTCAAAATTTATGTGCACTAATCGCTAATTTATTGCTAAAATATCTTTTTTGTTTACATTGCCTCGGAAAATGAAAAGAAAATCATTCCTGCTAAGCTGGCGAACACTTACGTCTTCTTGTCGGAACGAAATTGTTTGCTTCTGCGATCTGTGGGGTCCGTAGTTACCCTTTTTATCTCTGCTTTTACCTTGTTGCAATGTATCGACGTGAGAATGAAAAACACTACGTTAGATATCAGCAGAATCATCACCGGTCCGATGAAGAAAGTTAATTCGCTGTACGAATCTTGTTTTTCTGTATTGTTAAATTAAAAAATATTTTTAAAAATCATTAGATTAAAATAATTAAAATTTTTCGCACAATATGAAGATAATTCATTGTAACGTAAATATGAAAATGCTTTTTCCTCTAATTTGTGTCATTTAATTATTTCGTTTCATTAATATTTTTACTAATAAACAAATTAGATTTACTCCATCTACAAATAAGAGACGTGACTGAATTAAAAAAATATAATTCGGTAATAGTCTGTTACGGCAACTTTACCTTCGCTTTGAATCGTAAAGACTATTGAGAATTTTTCTTAATTGAATGAAGTTGCTTTATAAATGATACTTATTACGTTGCAATATAAATGACACTTATTACGCGAGCAATTCATTTAATAACATTTTATATACAGGATCAATGATACCTAAATTTGTTCTAGCACGATCAATACGATTGCTCGAGAAAGTTTTTAATTATCGGATAATTGCGGCACGACGATAGAAAGAAAACTTTACGTTTGCCTTCTCCCCGATACGTTCAACTTTGAATGCTAAATGAATTTTCTAACTGCAATTCATCTTGTAACAAAATTCCCAACTTTATCTATTTCCAATGTATAAATTAGCAAGAAGGCGCGAGAAGAAATAACCAACGTTGTACAAAGTCAGCTTTTGTTACGAAAAGTCAGTAATCTTTCCAAGAAGTTCATAATTAGCATTGACAAATTTACGTTACATCATCTCAGACAACAGTTATCGGTTGTAAATGACTCACGTGTAAACCAACAGCCCCTATTACCAATATTAGGTTGCAGATAGTCTGGCAGGATTTCCGTGCTGTCAGCAACGATAGCGAGGATTA